ACAAGAACCGGTTTTCGATACCCATCCCTAGTCACCCTAGTATAACATCATGAAACTAAAACCATTTTTGTTCATACTAAACATATGTAAACCAACACTGCTTGGTTTACAGGAACAAATTTTTAAGAGTGTAAAATATTTGGATTTAACAGAAAGTCAAAGTTTATAGAAGGTCCCCAGATCTCTGCAAATGTTATTTTTTATTTCTCCTTCAATTCTATTCTGTTCTGATGAAGTAGATAGAAACAGATGATAAAAAGCAGTCTCTGGTGTGTAGTTCTTGTTTGTGTGTGTATTATTTTATTTTAGCTTAGTTTGGATTGAAGAAGGTTAAAGACAAACAAACTTTAGACATTTTACCATCATTCAATTTTTATTTTTTATTCTTTTAGTCTATTTATTTATTTATTGTTCAACCCAGTTCAGTTTTGAATTTTGTTCTGTTAAAGTGAATTTATACAAAATGTTGCTTCATTTAAATTTGCCTAGTTTTTATTTTTATTGTGGTTAATTTTCACATTTTTTTCAGTTTTCACTCCAGGATGTCCTTCATAACCTGTCATAAAAGTTAAACTGTAGTTCCTGGTTTATGATTTCAGTTTATTGTGTGTTATCTGTTCTTTGTACAGCTTTTTATATCACTGGCTTTGATAAGTGCCACGCAGATAAACATTATAATTATTATCATCATATTACTGGCACAGCATATGATGATAATCTGTGTTTCCTTTTGAAATGCTGCTGTGATCTGTAACAGCCCAGTTTACACTCTAAATCCCGCTGATGATACCAGCTCCCATTCAGAAAACCTGCACGAGGAAAAAGGAGGAGGGAGTAATCCCAGCCCTGTTTTCTGTAACTGAGACATTTGTGAACAGACGCTGGCAGCTGCCCATCATCCTGTTTCCCATGAAAATGTCATGTTATGAAACATTTTTCCATGTGGTTTAAATGAGCAACGCTGAAATGAGTCTGATGATTCCATCTCCATCCCCGTGCTGCTCTAACGTCACTCTGCTTATTAAAAGGTGATTTATGAGCGTGAATCCTCGCTCAGATTTCCTCACGCTGATGCACAGAAACATTCCTGGTACAGCTCGAGCTGTCTCATACATCCTCCCTCACCCTCTCACTGAGGATTACTCAGGATTAGAAATCTGACGTTTAGGCTGAGCACGCCAGAGAAATGTCTCTATAAATTTGCTTATAGGAGGTGGCAGTGATAAGAGCGACTCCGGCCTCGCTCCCCCCACAGCATTCTTCTCCTCTGAGACTCCCGAAAGGAAATGGACTTTCATGTGGAAATGGTGGCAATAGAGCAGTTCTCCTCCTGCCTGTAATACTCTCATATTCATCCAGCTTTGACCGATGGTTTGTAAAGCAGACTTTTATTTCAAGAAGGAAACGTTGGGCACATTTTGGGGCTCTCATCTATACCTTCGCTCGCCACACGGTGGCAGCGCAGACTGCTGAAAGCACTCATCCACATATGTTAAACATCCATCCTGCTGCTCCATCTGCTTTTATGATTCATAGTATGTTCACTGAACACATTAATTCACAGTCACCGGCTTACAGCTCTCACATCCCCCCGTGCTTCAGTCTTTTATGTGCTAATACCTGCAGCTTTTTCATTACCTCCCATTTAAGAAAATATATGCTGGGAATCCAGCTGCATTAAGTGTCTGATCAAAGTAGAAGATGAAGATGGAACTGGTTGGTTCTCCCTTTACTGTGTCTGGCACACGGAGAAGGAAGTGGAGCCCAATTTACAAATTAAAAGCTCCTCTCTGCCTTACATTATCATTTTATTATTTCACAGAGGGATCTGCAGCAGGGGCGACTCATAGGTAGAATCTTCGAACCATTAACCACAAATCGCCCTAAAAAATCTATAAGAGAGAGCATCAAAGGTGAATAACTGCAATGAGCCAGTACTGCTTTAGCTCAACCCCAGTCCGGTGCATTTAGTGATTTATGAAGTGACACATATCAGACAACTGGCTCATTTAAATGCTTATATAGCATCTGGAAGGTTTTTAAATTTGGATTGAGTGGGTGTCCCTTTGCTTACTTTTGATAAGTCAGCATGGCTCTCTGTCCATCCTTGCGGTTTGTACCTCACAGAGAGCCTTCTTGAACTTCTCGTCACCTTAATGTGATGCCACAAAAAGGATTCTTAAAAGAAAAAATTCAAAGATTAATCGATGTGCTTGGAAACAAGGTATCCTTTGTATTTTTACATTTTGAGTGCAATTAGTTTCTATCACAAAGTCATGTTTCATTCAGACTTTAAGTATGGAATTAAAAATATATTAAATATCATCTTAAAAGCAGACGTAACCAGGCCTTTTTGTTGGGAATCAAGACAAATAGGGGGAGATAAATGATGGGAAAGGGATGAGAGGAACCACAGAGGTGGGGAATGGTGAGCAGTGTGGCCATGAGTGCTCTCATGGCTCTGTGTCCCCATCCTACACTGTGAGCCACAGGATCAAATGCCAGACCAATCAATTGTTCACCAAGCAGACATCTATAGCACGAGCCATGATGGCATTTACCTCCCCAGGGTGCATATCAATAAAAAAAAAAGAGATATCATACAAAATTGATTGTCCCCAAACAACCTGCACACCCACACCATCAAGCCTGAGAAAAGCCATCGTCACTCGTTATGTTACTAATTCTCTTTGCTTCTCCATCTGTTCCTTTTGTTCGGTTTGATTTATGTCCAAGAGAGCTTTATTTTATTAATACTGATTTTTATCTACTATCACTTGATACACTTGATTTTCCCATATTTTCATAATTTTTTTCTTTTGTGTTTTATTTTTAAAAATTATTTAATCGCTTAATATTTCATACAAAACATTTTTATTGTATTTTTATGGTTTTTTTTTATTTGTACTGTTGTTACGTTCCATTTAAAATTTGTTATTAATTACACTGAATTTAATTGTAAATGTATGATTTCATCTTGTAATCGATTTAAATTGTTCTTTTTTTGATAGATAAAATCTGCAGTTTCTGAAACAATCTGACAATCTTACTCGCCACGTCGACGCTTTAAAGCAGATCTATTCTGCTTCTATCTATGCAAAATATGTTCCAGTGGTGATTCGTCATATTTAACATGTCCAAACGTTTCCAGTAATTCATGAATCATGCAAAGCTAATCTCGTTTAGTTCACAAATACAAAAACAAAAACAAAAAAAAAATAAACATAAATAGCTGGAAATGCACAGAAGAGCTTCTAACATTGTTGAGCAAAGAAAGAAGTCCAGCTGCAACGCTGCTCAGCCACCCACAAACACCCACACATTTGCTTCGATGGTGCTTTAATCTCTTTCTCGATTATCACAGAGCTCGACCTCCATGACCTTTTCAGGCCCATTAAACGCTTCATTTGCATGTTAACCAGGCAAAGGCCAACCCCCTCCCCAGCCACCCCCACCTTTCCTTTGGC